TGGAAGTCTCTTTGCAGACTTGGAGTAGTAGTACTTCCTTAACCTCCTCAAGGATTTCTATCAGAAACCTGTGACATACCCTGTACCTAACAGTGAAGCATTAAAAAGCACTTTATGGAAAGTCAGGAATGAAGCAAGAAGTCCTATTGCCACTTCTGTTTGTTATTTCACTGAAGGTTGTAGTCAAAAGTAGAAAAAAAAAAGGGTTGCAAAGGAAGAAAATACAGGTAATTATAAACATTATGGTTGTCTACACAGAAAATCCAGTTGAAAGCCAGAAACAGGCTATGCTTTAAAATATTTCAGCAAAGTGTCTGGAGTCAAGATTGATATGTAAAAGTCTTTTGTGTTTGTGTATACTAAAGTCAATAGGGAATGTTTTAGCTCATAGAAATCAGTGTGGGGTGTGGTGGTACACATCTGTGATCCCAGTACTTGAGGCAGGGTTGTTGCATGTTCAAGACCATCATGGGCTACAAAGTGAATTCAATGCCAACCTGAACTGCATAGTGGAACCCTATCTGAAAAAGACAAAAAACAAAAATAAATGCTGGGGAGATGGCTCAGTAGAATAAGCACTTGCTTGGGAAGCACAAGGGCCTGAGTTCAATCCCCGGTTCCGCCAAAAAAATAAAATAAAATAAAATAAAATAAAATAACATAACATAACATAACATAACATAACATAACATAACCTTCCTATCCTTAAAAGAAAAAGACAAAAGTGAAATCAGTAGTGGCTGCAAGAATTAGTATGTCCTTTATCTTCCAAAGTGTATGAGGCCTTTCTAGAAAAGATTTTTACTACTTTGTATGATTTTGGGGATGGAACTCAGGGCCTCAGCCAAGCTAAGAATGGATTCTACTGCTGAGCTACAGCTGCAGTCCCTCTAGAGAAAGCTTTAGAAGTGATTGAAAAAGAAAAGTAGACATAAGTATGTATAGGGAGGTAGCACATTTAAAGTTTAGGAAACACTCTTGTAAAAATATCATTAATTTCTCAAATTAATGTCTACTGCAATGCCCATTTAGATGTCAGCCAGTTGTAGGAACTTCATAATTGAAACCTAAAATTCTCAAGGGAGGTTGAATGGCTAAGAATAGCCAGGGCGGATTTGAATAGTAATAAAATCGGTGGTTTCTGGTAGTCAATGAAAAGGTTTAAAATTTTGTGGTACTGAGGCAGGGCAGAGACAGAAAAGAAAGCCTGGGAGCAGACCAGTGTGTACGAGGCAGCTTGCTAAGAGGTGGCGGACAAGCAGTTCAGTAAATGGTCGTAGACACTGGCCATCCATATAGAGAAAGGTGCAACTAGAAACATGTTTATAGGCTTCCCATGTAAACTACAAGTAGATAAGAGACTTAAGTAAAGAGTGAAGCTTTCGAACTTGTAGAAAATAATGAGAAACACTGTGAAGTATAACAGTAGGGAAGATCTTCCTAAATAATTCACACATATACTGTCATTAAAGGAAATGCTTGGTAAATTTAACTACAGTTTAAAATCAGGATCATTTAGTAATCAAGGAAATGCACATCAGAATACAATGAAATGCACCTCATGCCTGCTTATGACTGTTATAAGAAGGAACAGCTCATGGGCAGGGCATGGTGATGCACACCTTGTGCTCCTAGCACTTGGGATGCTAAGGCCGGAGGAAGATCGCCAGGACTTTAAGGTAAACGTGGACTACATAGTGATTTCAAGGCCAGCACGGAATACGTAGTGAGATCCTGTCTCAAAACCAGACAAACAAAATCAGATCATAAGTGTTGGGAAGGGTGTGGGGAGATTGCAACACTTATATACTGCTGGTCCGAGTACAGAATGGTAAAGCCACTTTGGGAAACAATCTGGTCCCTCTAAAAATTAAATATAGAAGCTGGGAGTGGTAGCACATTCCTGTAATCTGAGCACCCAGATAGTTGAGGCTGGAGGAGCACTATAAGTTTGAGGCCATCCTGGGCTACAATAGTGGCATCCCTGTCTGAAAAAACAAGGAACCAAACAAAAAATTGAACAGAGTTACATCTGACCCAGCAGTGCACTTGTAGGTATATAGTGATAAGAAATGAAAACATGTCCACATTAACACACACACACACACACACACACACACACACACACATGTCCATAGCAGGATTATTCACAATAGCAAGTAGAAATCCAAGTGTCTATCAGCTGATGAATGGATAAGCGTATTTATGTATAAATAAAATATTCTGTATAGTGGAGTACTTTTGGCAGTAAGAAGGAATGAAGTACTGATGCCAGTAGTGGTTGTGTTAGAGCCAGGGGAAATGGAGAGTTACTGTTTTCATATGAGGTGATAAAAGTATTCAGAAATTAAGATCCAGTCATATGGTGATTGTAGTTCAACTCTGAATATACTAAAAGTCATTGCCATGCATACTTTGAATGGCTGAATTGTATAGTATATGAAATATATCTCAATAAAGCTGTTAAAAATATCAAGAACTTTTCCTAATGTAAGATATATCATAAGCCATATTAGAGAAAACACAAGCTAAAATGGTCAAAGGCTCAGTATCTGAATCTAAAAAGAACTTTTTTTTTTTTTTAAAATGTTTATTTATTTGGTACAGGTCTCACTACACAGCTCAGACTCATAGTGATCCTCCTGTCTCAGTCTCACCAGCACTGGGATTACAGTCGTGCACCACCATGCCTGGTTTCAGTGGCTGGCAGGGCATATGGTACCGGGGATCGAACCCAGGTCCTTGCACTTGCCAGGCAGGTACTTAGACTGCTGAACTAGCTCCCCAGCCCTTCTAAACATGCATTAAGAATTAGAATAACATCCTGGTAGTCAATGACCAAGGGACTCAAGAAATTCTTTCCTTTTATTTTACTGTGCTGGGGATTGAGCCTCAAGCATGTGAGCGAAGTGCTCAGTACAATACCCTCAGCTGTTGATATTTTTTATTTTGAGATGGGTTTTGCTGAGTTGCCAAGGCTGGCCTGGGACTCATGATCCTCCTGTCTCAGCCTCCTGAGTAGCTGGGATTATGGTCAGACACCACTGTGCCTGGCCAGAATATTTATTTACTTTTTTATGCTGGGTTCCAGGACATATGCAATTTGAAATGACAGATACCACTGTGCATGGTTTTTATTTTTTTTAATTTATTTTTTGTACTGGGGATTGCACTCAAAGCCTTGACTCACCCACTGAGCTACATTCCCATCCCTCATCTGTCTTGTGCACTTTAGAAGCAATATACTTTGAAAGCTCAAGCCATGGCTCTAGTCCCGGGAAATCGAGTGGGCTCACTCATGTGGTAGGGGTGGGGCAGGGCAAGGAGGAAGCCAGTCCAGCCTCCTTCCAGAGCAGGCTGACGAGTCAGGTCAAGTTGAAGAAGCCCGTGGAGTGGGGCTCCTCGGTGTAACGTATGGTACAGCAGTTGCATGTGTCATGCAGTTAAATTCCCCAGAGTAGAGAACATGGAGCTCAGAGACAGAGCTGTGGAACAGAATGGCCAGTGCAAAAGAACAAGGATAAATCCAATGTATTATTTCTCCCAAATTCTCAGATGCAGCGTCAGTAAGATTACACCAGGAATGCAAGCTTGCCAGTTTAGGGACTGAGTTCATTCAGAGGAGAGGGAAGCAGTGCTGATTTACACCCCCAGAGGCCTCTTGGAAAAGAGAAAGGTGCACACGGCTGGCTGGTTGCTGCTAGTTCTTAGGCGATGCTCATGCATCTTACTGTCCTAGAATTTAAAATCTGGTACAGGGAGGGGGAGATAGCTCAGTGGTGTAAGTACAAGGTCCTGAGTTCAATCCCTGGTACCAAAAAAATAAAACCTGCTATAGACTTTTAAAAAATTGCTTTCTGTTAATGGTGGTCATATGCTCATACTTAGTGCACAAGCTGACAGGAACCAGCTTCTCTTCTAGAGGCTGAAGCGCTGAACAAGAAAGACCAAAAAAAAGCCAAATCTCTGCTGTTGTGCCATTTACAAATGAGGGTCCACACAAGAAGGAAAATAGTTCTCTTGGCTGATCCCAGGCACTGAGAAGAAATCGAGGGGCACTGAGCGATGGGTGGGTAGTCAGATGCCTGTAGTGTAAGAAGGGAAGCCAGAGAAATTTTTAGGAAAAGAATCCTAGCCTTAAGTGATGGGTCATTTTCAAAAGTTTGAGAATCAGATTCCTAGGAATGAGCAGAAGAGTACAGACATAACACCTTGAAAATAGAAGGCACTGGTGAAGTGAATGAGAACCTAAATAAATGGAAAGGGATCCAAGGTTCGTGATGTAGAAGCCAGTGGTAAGATCCCCAGACCTGAGCTGAGCACCAAGAAGGTAGGGAAGGTGGAGGGCGGTGCAGGCAAGAAGGTTGGCCAAGCAGGGCCTGACAAAGCCCTGCTGCTGACCTCATCCCAGGTGTGGCTGCTGGGATGCTTCCCACCACTGGCTTTTACGCAGTGGAGGAATAAAACCCGTCAAGAGTTTTTTGGGGGGCTGCTCTGCGGCAGGCACAGGTGCACAGGGGCTGGGACGGCGACCTGGAGAGGAGGCTTTAGCAGTTCAGCTTATTTCTGCACATGCAACTTAAACATTTTCTTAAGTGATGTGAAAGTAACAGAACTCAGAATATTTAGAAGATTTAAATGGAAAGAATACATACCTTTCAAGAGCTAACCATTTGGAAGTAATGACAGTTCACATTTAGTTTTTTTTTTTTTCCTTTCTAGCCTTTGTACCTGTGTGTGTGTGTGTGTGTGTGTGTGTGTGTGTGTGTGTGTGTGTGTGTGTCTATTGTGCTGAGCATTGAATCCAGGACCTTGCACATGCTAAGCATGTACTTAGGTAATTACTGAACTATATCTCCAGCCCCTTGAAATGAATTTATTGATTAAACACTTCTCCATTTCAACAATGATTAAGCCTCATAAACCTACCCAGGGAAACAAAATAAGAATCTTTGATTCTCTTTTGGCCAGTTATTCTAAGTCTTCTCCATTTCCTGCAGGTGGAGCTGATCAGAATAATGTTCAGCATCAACCCTCTGGAGAACCTGAAGCTGTATATCAGCAGCCGCCCACCTCTGGTGGTCTTTATGATCAGCGTCAGCGCCATGGCCATAGCCTTCCTGACTCTGGGCTACTTCTTCAAGATCAAGGAAATTAAGTCACCGGAAATGGCAGAGGTGCATCTCCTCCAGCTTTTCTGCTTGGGCCACTAGACCCTGTAGAGGGGGAAATACTTTTTTTTTTTCATATTTCGATTTTCTATTCTATTCTTCCCCTCCCTTCCCTTCCTCCCCTCCCTTCCCTTCCTCCCCTCCCTTCCCTTCCTCCCCTCTTCCCCCCTCTCTCCC